CCGACTGCAGCAGCAGCAGCAGCAGCAGCAGCAAGGATCAACGGCAGCAAGCCACGCTGCAGCTGTTGAAATTTGGGTGTTTACTTTCTGGGTGGTGCCTCTGCTGCTGCTGCTGCTGCTGCTGAACCTGCTGCTGCTGCTGCAGCTGCTTTCCCTTGTTGCCGACGCCCTCAAGGGACGAATGGCTCCTGCTGCGAAGACGCAGCAGCAGCAGCAGCAGCGGAAGCAGCAGCAGCAGCAGCAGCGACAGCAGCAGCAACAGCAGCAAGGGAAGGTTAAAGCCACTTGACTTTAGGTGTACAGACACCTGCGAGATTTAATCAGATGCGCAAATCAATAAAATGAGTCGAAGCAGCAAAACAAAATGCTGCTGCTGCTGCTGCACGTGTTGCTGCTCCCGTTGCTGCTGCTGCTGCCACTTCCACGGCTACAGTTGATACAGTTGCCGTTGCTGCTGCTGCTGCTGCTGCTGCAGTCGGTTCTTCTGTAGCTGCAGTTAATACTGCTGCTGCTGCTGCTTCTGCGGCTGTAGTTAATGCAGCTGCCACTGAAGCAGCAGCAGCAGCTGCTGCTGCTGCTGCTGATTCAGCCTGCTAAACACAAGCGCCGGATATACACTACTTGGAGTGTACGTACACCCGAAACATGGCGCGCAGCAGCTGGGGTTTTGGCTGCTGCTGCTGCAGTTGCTGGGTGTGCTGCTTTTGCTGCTGCTGTCCCCGGATGTTTTGCTTTTGCTGCTGCTGTTGCTGCTGCTGCTGCTGCTGTTCCTGTGTGCGACTGCAAAGTGACGCAGCAAACAGTGAGCAGCAGCAGCAAAGGGTTCCGAGATTTTTCAGTTGTCGAAGCAGCAGCGGGACGCCTGGGCGCCCCAGCAGCAGCAGCAACAGCAGCAGCAGCAACACGGGCGCAGCAGCAGCAGGGGAATTCGCCAGTTACGTCGGTGCTGCGGCTGCCCCCGTTGCTGCTGGTATTGAGGAGCTCTTGCTGCTGCTGCTTCATGCAAAATGCTGCTGCACACCTTCTGCTGCTGCTGCGTGCTAGGTGCTGCTGCTGCTGCACACTGGCTGCTGATCCTGGTGCGCACTAGCTTCTGCTAGCTGCTGCTGCTGCGTACTAGCTGCTACTAGCTGCTGCTGCAGCACTTTGTCGGCTGCTGCTATGCTCCACTGCAGCACAGCAGCAGCAAGGGTGGTTTTGCATTATTCACTTGCCTCAACTGCTGCTGCAGCAAGCTGCGAGCAGCCATAAGTAAGAGTCGAGCGGTGCCTCAGCAGCAGCAGCCGCTGCTGCTCTTGCTGCTGCTGCTGCGCACAGGCTGTTGCTGCTGCTGCTCTTTAAGAAGCTGCAGCTTGACGCTGTCAGCTGCTGGCAACAAGGACGTGGCTACGCTACCGTGCTCTTGCTGCTGCTGCTGCTAGCAGCAGCAACTGCTGCTGCTGCTTCAGGGTCCCGAGGCCTCTGGGGGCCCCACGAGACTCATTTGCTGCTGCAGCAACAGCTGTTGCTGCTGCTGCTGCTCCTGCAGCGTGGCGAGTGTCTTCTCTTTGAATTGAATTTATTTGAATATGAAGTCATCTGCTGCTGCAGGGAGTCCTTGGCTGAGCAGCATCAGCAGCAGCAGCACCAGCAACAACAGCAGCAGCTGCGGCGGCAGCAGCAGCAGCAGCGGCAGCATCGAAAGCCAGCACATCACTACTTTAATGGACTAGTTTGTCTCATTTCTTTTGTTTCTTTGCTGCTGCAGCAGCCGGCGCAGCTGTCTGTACACCCCAGATCGCGTCTAACCACTGGGGGGGCCTGCTGCAGCTGAGCAGCAGCAGCAGCAGCAGCAGCAGCAGCAGTGGCGCAGCAGCAGCAGCAACAGCGGCAGCCGATGCCGAGTTCCGCCAGTGACATGGGAGTGCTGCAGCTGCCAGGAAGCAGCAATTGAAATGACGCCGCCACCGCAACAGCAGCAGCAGCAGCAGCAGCGACAGCAGCAGCAGCCGACACCTGAGCTGCGGCAGCAGCAACAGCAGCAGCAGGCCGACGGCTGCTGCTGCGTTTTGACTGATGCTGCTGCTGCCTTCCGTGACTCTCGCGAAGCAGCAGACGTCTGCGGCGCTCTTGCTGCTGCTGCTGTTGCACTGCAGCGGCTGCAGCAGCAGCAGCAGCAGCGCAATGCGACTCTACTGCACGCGGCCTCCCAGCTTGCTGCTGCAGCATGGACGGCATGTGTCGAGTGCTTATGCCGGCAGCAGCAACCCTCACACTTAGCAGCAGCAGCAGCAACAACAACGCCAGCAGCAGCAGAGGCAGCAGCAGCAGCAGCAGCAGACTCTTCAGAAGCAACAGCAGAAGCTGCTGTCCCTTACTATGTGTCCAGCCCTACGCAGCTGGCAGCTCCGCCAGGGCATACGCCCAGCAGCAGCAGCAGCAGCAGTAGCATCAGCAGCAGCAGCAGCATCAGCAGCACCGTCGGCAGCAGCAGCAGCACAAGTGGCAGCCTGCTGCTGCTGTGTGGCCTCGTTCTGAGGGAACTCCTTTGCCTCTGTGGAGAGGACTTGCTGCAGCCGCTGCTGCAGCTGCTGCTTCCTCCGCTCGAGCGTTTGCTGCAGCCCTCAGCAGCAGCAACTGCTGCCGCTGCCACTGCAAAAGCAGCAGCAGGAGACCTAGCAGAAGCAGCAGCTGCTGCTGCGAGCCTGCTGCTGCTTCTCAGTGCAGCAAGCAAAACTTGGCTGCTACTGCTTAGCCGAGATGCAGCAGCACTGGTACGAATGCTGCAGCTGCTGCGCGGCTTGCTGCAGCAGCTACGACTCCAGCAGCAGCAACAAGCAGCAGCAGCAGCAGCAGCGGCAGTAGATACCGCCTGCACCTGCTGCCTGCAGCAACAACAGCAGCAGCAGCAGCAGCAGAGCTGCGCGGTATCCACCGCGGTCTTTCTTTTCTATGAGACTGCTGCTTTCGACAGAAGCAGCAGCAACAGCAGCAGCAGCAACAGCAGCAGCAGCAACAGCAGCAGCAACACTGCAGGGGTCGTGTTAGCAGGAAAGACACGGGCGGCTCTGGTGTACGTACGCAACTGTTTGCTGCGCCTGCTGCATGCATGCCTGCTGCTTTCCTGCAGCAGCTTGGAGCAGCAGCAGCAGCAGCAGCAGCAGTTGCTGCTGCTGCTGCAGCAACAGCATGCGGTAGCATATGGCTACACGAGCAGTACTGCGAGCTTGCAGCAGCTGCGGCAGCAGCTGGAGCAGCTGGAGCAGGGACTGCAGCAGCAACAACAGCAGCAGCGCCTGCTGCACTCATCTATCCCGGCAGCGGAACTGCAGCAGCAGATTCTTGCACTCGCATGCAGCAGCAGCAGCAGCAAGAGCATTTGCTGCTCACCCTTTTCTTCTGCTGTTGAATTGCTGCCATCAGCGGGGTTCCAAGACCAAGCGCAGCAGCGGCGCAGCCAGCAGCAGCAGCAACAGCAGCAGCAGCTGCAGCAGCAGCAGCAGCAGCGGCACCAACCAGGTCCTGAATTCGCTGAATGGCATTATCTCCGCGAAGCTGTCGATTCAGTTGCTGCTGCTGCCGCTGCTCCGCAGCAGCAGCTGCTGCTGCAGGTGCCCTCAGCAAATAAGCCAATGGCCGCAGCAACAGCAACGGCAGCAGCAAACGCAGCAGCTGCTGCAGCAGCAGCTGCTTCCCTGCTGCAGCAGCAGCTGCAGTATATGCTTCCTACTGGAGGCCTAGGCAGCTGTTTGTGTGCCTCACAAGACGTTCATGCAGCAGCAACAGCAGCAGCAGCAACAGCGCCAGCAGCAGCAGCAACAGCAGCAGCGGCAGCAGCATGCCAGGGGGGACGGGGGCGTTTCTGCTTCTGCTGCCAGCCGCTGCTGCAGCACATATGGGGCCTTTTGAAACTTTGGAATGATTTGGGGCTGCAGCAGCAGCAGCGGCGTCTGCAGCAGAGACAGCTTCAGCAGCAGCTGCTGCTGCTGCTAAGGGCCCAGCAGAGCAGCAGCAGCGGCGATAGCAGAAGGAACAGTGACAGCAGCAGCTGCAGCAGCAGCAGCAGCAGCAGCAGCAGCAGCAGCAGCAGCAGCTTCAGTGGAATTGAAGAGGCTTCATCTACAGCGGTTGATTTGGCCCTTGATAACATCGTAGCTGCTGTTGGGCAGCTGCAGCAGCAGTCCGCTGCAGCAGCAAGCAACAATAACAGCAGCAGCAGCAGCCGCAGACGGCTACTGCTGCTGTGTGTGGCTGCTTGCCGCTACCGCGTGTGTGCTGCTCTCAGTGCAGCAACAGCAACTCTTCATTTGCTATCACGGCGCCCAGCAGCAGCAGCAACAGCAGCAGCAGCACATCCTGCAGCGGCGCTGCTGCAGCAGCACCTGAAGCCTGTTGTGCTGCAGTGCTGGTGGTCCCTGAGCTGCCCCGCAGCAACCTGCTGCTCTGCTGCTGCTGCTGCTGCAGCGCATGCGGCAGCTTCTCTCGTGGCAGCAGCAGCAGAGTTTGCTGCTGCGCTGCTGCAAGGAACTGCTGCAGATTCGTTTGCGGTGCTGCAGCTGCTGCGCTCTTTGGGGCTGCAGCAGCTTCACCAGCTGCACGCGCCGCACCAACTGCAGCAGCAGCAGCAGCAGCAACAACGGCAGCAGCAACGGCAGCAGCAGCTTTGCCTGCCGACAAGCAGCGGCAGACGCTGCTCTGAAACTTCACACGCTGGCTTGCGGGGCAGCAGTGACTCAGCAGCAGCAGCAGCAGCGCCTGAAGCAGCAGCAGCAGCAGCCGCGCCTGCTGCTGCTGCTGCGGATAATGGCTGCTTCAGCTGCCGCTTGTTTTACTCAGGTCATTTTCTTTTAAGGGATTTAAAGTTGGAGGCAGCAGTCGTGGCTGCTGCTGCTGCGTTTGCTGCTGCTAGCTGCCAGTGGCGCCGCAGCAGCAGCTGCTCCACGCCAGCAGCAGCAGCAGCAGCAGCAGCAGCAGATTACGTGGCTTCTCTGAGGCACAGCTGGGTGCTGCTGGTATCTGCGTTGCTGCGAAGTGCGCAGCCGTTTCTGGAGGAGCGCTGCAGCGCAGCATTCAGCAGGAGCAGCAGCAGCAGAATTCGCAGCACTTCGATCTGCAGCAGCAGCAGCAGCAGCTGCGACAGCAGCAGCAGCAGCAGCAGCAGCATAATGCTGTGGCGCCGATGGCAGCACGGCAGGGCTCTTCCGTTTG